GTCTTTGGCACCATATTGTCTCATCCAAATCTCAGTTCTACTCACCCTCTGTCTTTTGGCAAGTTACTTCACTTCTCTGGGCCTCAACTTCCTTGTCTATAAAATAAGGATAAAAGTGACACATACCTCCTAAGAGTGTAGTGAGGATTGAAGGAGTTAATGTATGTAAAGTGTTTGGTATGGTGGCTGGAACATAGTGAGTGGTACAGCAGCGTTGGCTGTGGGTGCTGTTACAGCCGTTATTTATATCACGCTCTTGTGTTTGGCCCTGGAGTTTCTCACTTGAGTTTAAACGTTTTGATTTTTCTAGAGATTTGTATTTAAGATATTTACTAGTATCCATTTCAAATACAAAATGATTTCTTTCTGCGTTCTTAGACTAAATTACTTTGGCCAGGTGATAGTGGAAAATTATGCTTATCTATGGAGGTTTCTATTTTTAAACTGTCTAAGCCATCTGAGTCTATTTTGATGAAGTGTTTTCTCCCCCTGGCAACCATTTTTTTTCTCCCTAGATTACAACTGGCACCTCTGTGAAGCCTTTTCTATCTGTTCTCTCTTTTATAACTCTCTTCTGCTCTCACTGTACCCCTCAGAAATTAGACCTTGGCACTGTTGTTTTTCCCCTTCACTCACAGTGCCTGAAAATATATCAACTACTACCACTGTCTTTGGAAACCTGTTTGTAATAAACCTTTTTTTAGCTTCTCTGCGTTCACAAGTCAGGTTACAGAAATCTGTTTGATAGCTGCCCTTAGTCCAGTAAATGTAATAAATACACTTTTAGGTAATCATTCTCATTAGTTTGAAAGGAAGGAAATGTTGGAGTCCTCAGACACCTCACAGTATTTCTATACTTAATTTGTTGGGTAGTTTGTGTAGTTAGGTGTCTGATTTAAGAAAAGTTGTTAAAGTTGACTAAATAGAGCAACATGTGTCTTCATTGGTTTCTATGGTATATTCTCTGTCTTCGTAGCAGTTGTCTCAACCTTCCGGCTATTATTTCTCAGTGGGAAACTATCAAGAGTAGGAAATTAGGACTGACTGTACTGTTTTTATTTCAGTTGTGGTGTATATAATCCCTAAAAATCATCCCTAAAAATGTCCTGTTACTATTAATAGGTCATTATACTGATCTAGCCATTTCAACTAATATATTCAAGAAGTCTTTGTAGCAGTATTTGTGGCCTTTTTTTTTTTTTTTTTAAGTGCATGCCACTGTGCTAGAGGTCCTAGCCAGCACAGTAAGGCAAGAAAAAGAAAAAAGAAAGGGAAAAAAAAGCATCTTGATTGGAAAGGAAGAAGTAAAACTGTCTTTCTTCACAAATGATGTGTGTAGAAAATCCAATGGAATCTACGAAAAAGCTACTAGAACTAGTAAATGTAGCAATTAAGTTTAGCAAGATTGCAGGATATAAGATCAATGTAACAAAAAGCAACTATATTTCTCTCTATATATATTAGCAATGAACAATCAGAAAATGAAATTTAAAAAGACAATACCATTTATAATAGCATCAAAAATATGAAATACTTAGGAATAAATCTGACAAAACAAGTGTGAGATCTGTACAACAAAAACTGCAAAACATTGCTGAGAGAAATTAAAGGATACCTAAAAAAATGGAAAGCTAAGTCATATTTTTGGGTTGGAAAACACAATATCGTTAAGACCTGTTTTCCCCAAAATGGCCTGTAGATCCAGTGCAGTCCTGATCAAAATCTCAGTAGGCTTTTTTATAGAAATTGGTAAGCTGATTCTGAAATTCATATGGAAATGCAAAGAACCTAGAATAGGCAAAGCAGTTTTGATAAAGAAGAAAAGCTTGAGAACTAACACTACCTGATTTCCAGACTTAAGTTACAAAGCCACAGTAGTCAAGGAAGTATAGAATTGGCATCAAAATAGACCTATCGATCAATAGAACAGAATACTGAGTTCAGAAATAGACTCACATATGGACAACTGATTGTCAGTAGAAATGAGAAGACAGTTCATTGGAGAAAGGACAGTCTTTTCCAATTGTTGGAACAATTGAATATTCCTATGTTTAAAAAAAAAAACTTCAATCCGTACCTTGCACCATAAATAAAAATTCACTCAAATGGTCGATAGACCTAAATGTAAAACCTGAAACTATAATTTCTAGAAGAAAACATAGGAGAAAAATCTTTCTGCCTTGATTTAGGCAAAGATTTTTTAGATACAATACCAAAAACATCCGTGAAAAGATAATTTGGACTTAAAGTGACAAACTAGGAAAAAGTACTTGTAAATGGCTTGTATCCATAATATATAAAGAACCCTCAAAACCCAGTAATTGAGAAAACAGACAACCCAGTAAAAGTATGCAAAACATTTGAACAGATACTTCACCAAGGAGGTTATGTGGATGGCAAATAAGTACATGAAAAAAAGAGCTCAGCATTATCAGTCATCAGAGAGATGCAAATTAAAACCACAGTGACCACTGTGTCAGCCCATCTTGTCAAGGGTCTTCCTCTCTTTCGCTGACCCTCAGCTTTACCAAACATGATGTCCTTATCCAGGGATTGGGCCCTCCTGATAACATGTCCAAAGTAAACAAGACAAAATCTCGCCATCCTCACTTCTAAGGAGCATTCTGGCTATACTTCTTCCAAGTACTTCTCTAGGATTATTTGTTTTTATAAGTAATGTACTTATTATTCAAGGTTTTTGTAGAAATTTAAAGACTTTGTGAAATAAGTCTTTTGATTATATTTTTATAGTGTTTGATGCTGAAATAAATGGAAAGTATTCATACTTTGTATGTATTTTCTTGTATTTGTGTCTTCACTTAGCCTCCTCACATATCTCCTCCAGCGGAGAGGTTTGGTTTCAATGCTGCCTCAAAGTATCTGTCAGTCTACATCTCTTGTATCCACTACAACCACCTAAGTGAAAGCTGTTGTTATTTCTCACTCAGCCACTTGAATGGCTGCCTAATTGTTCTCCATGCTTTGTATCCGTGTTAATTCTACTAAATAGAATTCTATTTAATTCTCATATTAATTTAACTACATTAATTCTTGCATTAATACTACTAAATTTTGATGTAATCCTTTGCATTAAAAAATAAAGTAATTGCTTCATTTACAAATAAAACATTTTAATATTTTGCAAAAAAAAAGAAAAACCACTATGAGATAACACTATTACCTATTAGAATGGTTAAAATTAAAAAATAATGACATACCAAGTGTTGTCATGGATGTGCACAAACTGGAATTCTGATACCCTGCTGGTGGGAATATAAAATAGTACAACCATTTTGGAAAATGAGTTGGCAGTTCAGTTAAACATACACCTACCATGTGATCCAGCCGTTGCAGTCCTAGGTATTTATCCAAAAGAAATGAAAGTGTGTGTCCATGTAAAGACTCATATGCACATGCTCGTAACAGCTTTAGTTGTAATAGCCTAAAACTGGAAACAACCCAGATGCATGTCAGGTAAATGCATAAACAAACTGTGGTGTATATCTATACAGTGGAATTTTGCTCACCAGTAGAGAATACACTGTTGATACCACCAACAACATGGACAAATATGAAGTAATTATGCTTAATGAAAGAAGCCATGTTAAAAAAAAAAAAACAGTAATTCCTTCCTGTACATGTCCATTTATATAAAATTCTAGAAAATGCAAACTGATCTCTAGTAACAGAAAGATTAGTGCTTGCTTGGAGAAGGGGATGGGAGGAAAAGAGGGGCAGGAAGGAGGGGATTACAAAGGGACACCGGGAAACTTTTGGAGGTGATGAATGTTTTCATTACCTTAATTGAAGCGGTGGTTTCATGTGCGTGTATGTCAAAACTTATCAAGTTGTATACTTTATGTAGTTTTGGATGTCAGTTATTCCTCAGTACAGCTGTTTAAAAAAAAGTGCAACCTTGAACCGAAACTAGCCCCTAAGGTCACCTTGTAGCTAAATAACAAATTGGCTCAAAAAATAATGAGTGTCACTCTATAGTACTATGCTAAAATCACCTACATGAGACCAAAGGGTTAACAATTACTTTAAAACAAAGATGAGAATGTAAGAGGACAGGGAAACTAGATTAATGGAAACAGAATGGAAATATTGAGAATGTTCATGCATTGTGAAGAATGTAACCAATGTCACTGAACAACTTGTGCAGAAATTGTTGAATGGGAACCTAAACTGCTGTGTAAACCTTCACCAAAAATACGATAAAATATTACTAAAAAAAAGAGTGCACGCCCTGCCGTCAGATAGCCTGGGTAAAATGTGGATAATAACAGGACCCAAAGCTTAGGGTTGCTGTGGGGATTGTGGGTTTTAATATATGTACAGAGACTACATCATGGCATTATTCACCATTTTATGTGACTATATGTTGTCTCCCACTAGATCATGACGTCCTGGTGGGCACAGTGAGCGAGGCACCATATCTCTGGCATCATGTTGCCCAGTTTGAAATTTGGCATAGGTGTTTGTATAATTCTGAACCTATTACATGAAAAGTATAAAAGGTCTTTGAGGAATGTTTAAATTGATACTTAAGCAACAGAATTAGCATCCTTCAAACATGTATAGCACAGATAAATATTTTAAAAACAGCTGAGGAATTTTGCACACACTGTCCTGATTTGTAAATTGTGGTATTTATGTGTTTAGAATTAACTGGGAGATATTTAAAGTGTTGCACTGTCTTAAAGATGTGTACTATATTTTTATCTGTACACATAGACACGAATGTGAGTATATGTGTGTGGGTGTATCATACATATTCCCTGAAAATGATTTCCTTTGAACACTAACGTAGCTACCACCCTCATGTCTAACTTATTTAGAATGCAGTTAAGTCTTTGGGAAAATCAGTTATGTCACCACTGAAGAATGCCACCAAAATAGCTTCTCACTTAAGTTCCCATCCCCAGAGCTAACCCACAGGCGGTTCCGATAAATTCAAATATTTAATAACTTGTATTTTTCTTTCTCCTCAAACACAGGCGCTCTGGTCCTGGAGGCAGGATCATGTGGTGGATTCCTGGCAGTCAGCAGTCTGTGGAGCTTTTGCAGGTGCAAAGGATTATATTGTACTGGGAAAGACCAAGAGGGGGACAAAAATGTGAGAATATTAACTATGCAAAACCAACATTCTTTAGAAATTCCAGATTGTTTAGATGAAGACAGCTCCACTAGTTGTTTAAGGAAGAAAGTGTCTTGGGGGAAAAAAGAAAAAAACCTGCTAAAAAGGTGTCTACTTGAAAGACAACCAATTTGTTTTTGACAAATTTTTCTTTTCTTTTCATCTTTATTAAAGCCTTCACTCAGGCCCTTGGATTATCTTAAAGATGATTTATAAACCCTTCTGTGGGAAGAGGCTTGCTGTGGGTGCAGGGCTGACAGTGCAGCTGTCTGCCCAGAGCAGTGCTGCGGGGGTTAAGCAATTTCTGCAGAGGGCGATGATTCACAGTTCGTGTGACATGCTTGACAGCGCTGTGGATTAACTGGTGTCAGGAGAGCAGAGGATACTCCACAACTTACCGAAGCTAAACCGCTCTGTGTGGAAAATGTGGGGTTCTCAACATCTGAGCATTTTCTAGATGTTAAACGAAGAGCAAAGTGACAATGCGCAATATTGCGTTATCCATCACTTGGCCAGCCGTGAGAATTTTCCAGTGAGGTTTTAATGAGGACCTGGATGCTTTAAAGAATTTATTAAGTGATATGTTTAACAGCCTTAAATGGAAATACATCTTGTTATTGCAAATAAAGGTAAAATTGGAATTACAGTTAAATAAAACGAAATGGAAATTTGTGGGACAATTGTAAACTGCTGGTTTAGAGGCAAAGTAAGTAAATTGACAGCTGTGTAGGCTGAGGACGTCAACTTTATTGGTAAATAATTATTTTCCATTTTGTTTAATGTTTGTTGGATTGGGGTTTTTGTTTTTAGCTGCTAGGAAATGGGAAAACATACATTTAATGGGATTCTTTATTAATAATTGGAGCTGTTTGACTTGTGGAATTGATAATCAAAAAGTAAGAAACTTGCCTTTAGACGTGAAGCCAACCCAGAGTGATGGTGATGGATAATTGTTTCCACATGACACACGGTCATTAGCTGCGTTAAATGAGTAGGTGGTCTTGATTCATTTCCCAGGAGGCAGGGTCATTATCCCCTCGTCCCTCAGAGAAATGTGCATTTCTGGTGACTGCCTTGTGGGCCCTGGGGACCAAGTGAGCAGTATGGAAATTTAGTCATCCTGGATAAGGAAAGCCAAGTCTTGAAGTCCACAATGCCATAAAACTTCCATGTGTTGAACTAAGAAGTGTATTTCTCTGGTCCCATTCCTCAAGATGCTAATTCAAAGATTTGTTTGCAAATAGATACATTTGCATTCATCACAGTGCCTTTTTCTGAATAATGCTGTATAACAAGCACTAGTTTAGATAGAAGGGGGTAAAGAAATAACCTTTTTATCAGGCATCTCCTGACTGCTAGGCAAGATACTCTCAGGCCCTCTCACTTGAGGTGGCCCGGATGAGTGCAGCAGCTCATGCCCTTTGCTCTCGTGGACACTGAGGCCACCGTGGGGAGGGGAAGGGGAGTGATGTCCCAAAGCCACACAGCTAGTGCAGGCTGAGCTGTCCCACTTAGAAAGTGGTCAGTTCTCCTGTTCTGCTTCCAGCTAAGGAATGAGTAAATCATCCTGAGTGCCAGCTTCCTTACCTGGAATGTAGAAGCAGCCCTCGTACCGTAGGGGATTGCCTTGGGTATTAAACGAGATAGTGGATGTGTTAGTTTTTTGTGATCTGTAAAAATTGGACAGATGTAGGGAATGATTACCATTTCAATAAAAACAACCAACATCCAGAAAATTAAAAATTTATTATCCCAATAATTTGTATTATCAATTGCAAAGGGTAGTATGTTAATAAAAGTACAAGATACAGTCATCTCCTCTAATACGGTCACCTTGTTTTCTTATCTACAGTTCTAATGAGTAAAAGAGTTTTTCCAAGGTCTGAAAAAACTCCATTACTTGTCAGTAAATCCACATATATTTAGCAACAGATAAAATAAGTGCATTTCTTGTTTATACTCTTTGTTTTTAAATTTTATTTGGCACAGACGTGGATCCAGAGGAACAAGGTTACTATTTAAAAACCTTTCTGAAGGATAAATATCATTTGAAAATATTCTAAATTGTGAAAAAGCACTATTCTGTAAGAATCTGGTGCAACAGTGTGCATTACACAGTGTAGAGAAATGGCTAAGGACTGGCCATCTTTCAGACCTGACGTGCTTACACGCTGCACTTTCACGTGGCCGTAAAGGCGGTGAAGAAACTAGCCCTTAGGGCAGAAGTCAGATTGCTCATCCATGTGTGCTTCCGCCAGTTTAAATTGGTTAACTCGTTGCAGATGAACCATTCTCTGTGCCATCCTTGGCATGCTATCTTGTCCATGCTTGTTCTGTAAACTATTTGGCACGAGTATCTAAACATGTCTCTCGAGATTGGAGGTGTTGATGGCTTGTCATGCTCGCAGATTCTCTTGGCTTCTGGTCAGGGGTTAAAATAGGCAAAATAAAATGACTTTACCAACTTCCTCACTTAAAATTAACTTCTAAACATAAAACCATAATGCAGTCTAAGTGATTATGATATTTAGTACTATAATGATGTTTGCTACCCTAGTGTTTTGTGATTAGTTTCTCATAAAGAACACCTACTTACACATTCCCTAAGAGAAAAGAGGCAGGATCTCCCCATGGCTTGAAATTCTAGACGAGGATGAAAAGGGGTATTTGGTTAACAGATGAGAAGGCTTGACACAATCTTTAAAACACGAACACGTTTTTGCTTGTTGTTTGTTTTAAGCCCTCCACATCTGGACCCTTGTTTAGAGATCATGCAAAAGAGGTGCATGAAGATGCTCCTGTCCCTCCTAGACTAGTCAGGGGAGGCCAGGCCCTGGGGAACCAAGAGTGGCAGCAGGGTTCCCCAGGTGAGCTCAGCGCCCCACCACATTCCCAGCTGCTGCCTGGAGGTGACAGCTCCAGGCCTGTTGTCAGAAGGTGGCTGCTTTGTCTAAAGACAATAAACACTCTGCATTTGTTCCCCAAGGACACCTGAAATGTAGTTTCATTGTACAAGTTTACTTTCCCTGAATCTGGTCCTTGAAAGCAGTCTGCCTGGCATTCAGTAAAAACCTCACTCTAGTGGAGACCATGGGAAATCATTTCACATGTGACCTGAACACTAAGGCAGCCTATACTTGCTGTACCAATAATTATTTCCTGTCTAAGATGTTAGTATGTTCCTTATATTTATTACCAGTAGTTTATAGTCCCCTTAGGTAAAATGTAGAGAATAACCACATTTTAACTGAAAGTACAGGTCCTCCCCCCCCATTATGATCGGTTATTCTATTACATTATCTCCTTGGAGCCTCGTTAAAAAACATGGTAACGTTTGTGAATTAAAGAAATCTTTTTATGTTTAAAGACACCCAAATTGATTTATTACTAACTTACATAAAGCACAGTTTTCATCATGGTAGTGAAATTAGGACCTATTCTAGCCATTGTGTGTTTGTCTTTAACTTTTCTTCACATTACTTTAATGAAACAGATTGTTGACCCTCATAAACGTCTAAGAGGATATTGTCAGGCATCCGGCAGTGAAGGAAAGGTAGACCTTTACTGTAGCCAAAATAAGTTTGATTTGCAGTATCCAAATTTATTAGAAGACAAATAATTTTCAACATAGGTGACTCATAAAAGTTTGAATGACCAGACGGGGGACAAATGATCTTCCTTGTCAACCTTTAGGACTTTTCAGTTGGTTTAGGACAGTTTGTGAACATTTTCAAATTGGAAAATGGTATATGCACTTCTGAGTCTTAACTTTCAAATTTTAATTTGTCTTATATACCCAGGCCATTACGTAGTGGAAAGAGCACTGCTTTCGGAGCCAAGATAGGCCTGGCTTTGAGTGCTGGCTCCATGCAAGCAGTGTGGCCCTGTACAAGTTGTCTGTAAAGCAGGATAATAATACCTGTGCAAGTGAGGTGAAATAATCAATGCAAGTGACTAGTACAATGCTGGGTACCAGACGCAAAGGAAGTCCCCTTCCCTTCCTTTTAAGGACAAGTTGAAATCTTCAATCTGTAAAAACTCTAGACCTTTGTCCATGGCACCCACTAGGCATGTTTGAGGGTCTGCTGTGTATGCTGGGCTAGTGACAGGAGGAGAACTCACACATCCCTGACCACCCAAGAAAGAGTTAATCACTTGTTGAGTACTGTGAGCCAGGCACTGTTCTAGACACTTTGCAGAGAGTCAGTTAATCCTCGTCTTACAGGAAGTGGATATTACTGTCTGTACTTTACAGATGAGAAGACTGAGGTCAGTAGGGCCAAGTGGCCAAGAGCTCAGGCTTTGGAGTCAGACAGACTTCATAGTCCCAGCTCTGCACTAAGTTCAACCTTCTACAAGGTAGTCAACCTCTAAGCTTCAGTTTTTCCACCTGTAACATGGGATGAGAGTACCTGTTCCTCACAGGGTCATTTATTTAGAGAATAAGAAATTTACCCAAGGCCAGTCAAATAGCAGAGCAGAAATTTCAGCTTTGGTCTTTCTGGCTCCAAGAAGGGTTCTTTCAGGGTGGGAAGTTCTGGAATAGTACAGGTTTGTTGCCTGATTCCCTCCGTTCCTCCTTCCTTCACTCCCTCCCTCCCTTTTGGTTTGTTTCGATCTTTTGTTTGATGGATGAGAAGCCTTCTTGGACTCTTTTCTGTAATTAAAAGTGTATTTACTCCTCTAGGGCAGAATCTGTAGTTAAAAAAAAAACAATGAAAGAGTAGGACTTCAGGACTGCATCCACAAAATTTTAAGACTTGAAATTTAGCAAGTCTCTGAATTATAGGCAACTTTTGAATTTGGAGGAATGTGTTTCACTTATCCATAATGCAAAGTGGCTTAAAACAAAGGGGATTCTGATACTCATGTTAATTAACACTCCTTAAGATCTCCTGGTTCATGGGTAATCAAAATGGAATGTCAAATCATAAATAGGTACATCTTTTAAAAAGTCAGTGTCATCCTAAATGTTACCAAATGGAGGAGGTTCAGTGTAATGATCTTATTTTGGCAACATATTGAGAGAGATACTTGGCAGAGATCAAGTGGCCTTCTTGTCCACACTCCACACAGCTCAGAGGGAGTGGCGGGTGGACAAGAAGGCCCTATTTCAAGGAGAGCACTATTCTGGGAGCCCCCCTGGCACACGCGTGCTCTGCTCAGCCGTTACACAGAGGCCTCTTTCACCCTGGCTTATGCAGCCGAATCTTTAGAAAGCCCTTTTGGCTTTATTATTTCTGAGAACCTTTGATTTATCTCCTCACAGCCTCTTGGGGTTTAAAATGTGTCTCTGTTCCATATTAAATAAAATATTGACACCATAAATTGTGGCTTCTGTTTTCTAAGGAGAAAAAAAAAGTCCTCCCATTCCTCTGTCCACAGGTGTGGACAGGTTTAAATTCTGTGGACAGCTTAGAAATCACAGTATTTAAACAGAGAAGAGGAGAGAGAGAAGGTAGGAAGGAAGCCAGAAGGACAAGACTGACTCTAAGAAGCCGCAGAAGAGTTTAGAAACGTAGTTTCTCTACCTGGCCTGCTATCAGGAAGCCTGTGAAATACAGAAAGCTTGACCTTGTAAATCTTTTAACTTGAAGAATCCAGCCCTTTATACCAAAACTCCCCATAGTGATGCACGTGTTTCTATGTGTCTATTTTGTTGTATGCAGAGTAGAGACAATAGCAGCATTTGGAGCCAGTTTAAAGAACATGGCCCATGGGAAGGCACGGACCCTCTAGGTCAGGAGGAGCCCCTCATACTGAGAGTGGGTGACTGACCGTATGCACACCCGCCGTGTACGCACGCACTCGGGTTCCTTTGCTAGCATATGAAACAGCCAGGTATAGTGTGGGGCTCGTTTTTTGACCTGGGTGTAAAGCAGTATCTGGTCACCTCTTTTTGTATGAATTCTAAATCGCTGCAAAAGAACCTAAGCACGTGGATAAAGGTTTTACATGTGTACATCCCATTCTTGAATCCCATTCTTGACTCAGTGGACATAGTAATAAAGAAGTGATTTTGGCAGCGTTATGAGGAATTATAAAAATGATAAAATCCCTGTATATTCAGTAAACAATATCTCCCTCGTGTGTTGGGTATTTTTATATGCACAGGTGGATTTGCGGCTATGGTCACCACGCCTCTGGATGTGGCAAAGACAAGAATTATGTTGGCAAAGGTGAGTAGTAAAATAATGCTGTGTCGGTACGACAGGTGCTTACTGCATCTGTTAGTGCTAGAACTTATACGTATATAGAAAGAATAAATATAGCACTTGCCTGAAAGATCGGCAGCCTTCTGCCAGTATTCCCAGAGGTGCTCTGTTAAACTGCTGAAGCCAACGGTGACACAGTATCCACAGTAGTCACTGTGACCAATGTCTATGTAGCATTTTACATTTCAGAATCATTTTTTACCTACATTATGTAAGTAAGCGGGGCTGTTATGCTGTTGTAGGTGGTAACTTTCGAACTTGTTGCCGTCGAGTCGATTCCAACTCATAGCGACCCTATAGGACAGAGTAGAACTGCCCCATAGGGTTTCCAAGAAGCACCTGGTGGATTCGAACTGCCAACCTTTTGGTTTGCAGCCGAGCTCTTAAACACTGCACCACTAGGGCTCCAATTGTGCTATAGGTAGTCCCACAGTCTGGATTGTCTGATTTATGATTAGATTCAGGTAAAATATATCTGCGCTAATATGTATTGTAAGTAATACTATTTCCAAATCATCTCTGTTTTTGTGATGGCAGGCCCAAGGCTCAGAGGGGTGACGTGCTTCATGCCATGCACGTGGGCTCTGAGCATAGGTCATGCTTGGCCTTCACTGAGCAAGTTAGGACAGTTGTCAGAATTGTTAAAAAGTTGTGTTAAAAAACAAAATTGTTTTTAAAAATGCTAGACCAAGAGATCAGGGAATGCCATATATAATATATAAATGAACAAAAACAATAAAAAACAAAGTCAGATCATTGTGGAAAAGTAGGACAAATATGAGCAGAATTCTGGGGCTTAGGCTGGCAGGACCAAACCTAAGAATGTCAATCGTGTTTTAAATTGAACATGGCATTCTTTATTAAACGTGTTTATTAGCTACTTAGTTTCATAATTCTGCCATTTGTACTGGTTATTCCTCATCCTTTATAGAATATTACTTTCTGACTTTTTCCTGGTAGATAGTTAAACACAAATAATCTAGGCAAGCTCTGCTGTTGGTTTGTGAGAGAAACAGTTCAGAAAAGCAGCTTCCCGTGCAGCACGGGCCAAGTCAGTAGTTGCCATGAGTGCTGAACGGAAGCGTTTCTTGCTGAGCAGGATCCAGAGGATCCTAAGAAACGCCCCGTCTGTTTGAAACTGTGTCCTTGATGAGGGTGGTAGGGGCCACGTACCTGAGATATTTGAGAGGCAGCTCCAAGTTGGAGAGTTTCATAAAATGGCTTACTTCACCTTTGTCTTTTCCTCCAGGCGGGTTCCAGCACTGCCACTGGGAACGTACTCTCTGCGCTGCATGAGGTCTGGCAGACACAGGGGCTGTCAGGGTAAGGACGAGAGGGATGGCCAGCTGCCTTTCCACCTCTCCACCGCCTCTTCCTCCTTCCTCTGAGGTCCCCTACGTCGCCTGAGATTGGACGAGCACCTTTCCTTTCTTCTGCTTATGTCCTAGTTATGGTTGTTAGGCGCCGTCGAGTCGATTTTGACTAATAACGACCTCGTGTGACAGAGGAGAACCGCCGCACAGGGGTTCCAAGGCCGTAATCGTTACAAAAGCAGAGTGCCACTTCTTTCCCCCACAGAGCAGCTGGTGGGTTCGAACCACAGACCTTTCAGTTAGCAGAGCACTTAACCAGTGTGCCACCAGGGCTCCTTTGGTCCTACTTAGGAATGTTTTTATATTGTTATTATATATTTACTGATATTTGTTAAAATGTTACATTTGGTGTTGTATATGTGAGATCATATGGCACAATCAAGTTGATGCAATATTCCAGCCCAGTAATTCTCAGCCTTGCTCATCTTGGTGTTAGAGGATATTCACAGCCAGGTGATGGGCTGCAGCATTAGTAAAATAGGTTTCAGTTTACACAGTGCAGGGATGCCGAGTGAGCGAGGGTAGCAACGTTAGAGGGAAACATTTGTGCTCTGGGTGTTACACCTATTAGTAGTAGCAAATTACTTTCAACATAGTGCAGTGCATGATACCTTGGTTGTTCTCTATTATTAAGTGCTTCTTGGAAGAAGTACAACCAGAATGCTCCTTAGAAGCAAGGATGGCGAGACTATGTCTTTCATACTTTGGACATGTTGTCAGAAGGGATCAGTCCCTAGAGAAGGACATCATGCTTGGTAAAGTAGAGGGTCAGTGAAAAAGGGGAAGACCCTTAATGAGATGGATTGACACAGTGGCTGCAACAATGGGCTCAAGCATAACAACGATTGTGAGGATGGTACAGGACAGGGCAGTGTTTCGTTCTGTGGTGCATTGGGTCGCTAGGAGTCAGAACTGACTCAACGGCACCTAACAAGTGCCTCAGACTTCTGGCATCATTTAAAGAGCTCTCTCTTCAGCATTGCTTTTACAACATAAACCTGTAAAGCTGTCTAAATGTTGAGATCTGTATAGATATACGAAATTACAGTTTTCTCTTTGAAATCATCTACCAGGAATTTTCCTGTGAGACAAGCAGCAGCCTCCTTGTGGAGTGGGTCAGGAGTGCCAATGTAAAAGCAGAGCTTCGGGCCTCTTGGGATGGTGCTACTACCGCCTCATCCCAGTGCTGTGTGAGATCATTTATTTGGCTGTAGTTTTTGGGTGCATTTGGCAGGCTATAATTTCAAGAATTTGATAGTCTGTGTAGCATGAAGCAGGTAGGTTAGGCCCCAGTTAAGATGTTTGCAGGAGAGTGACCCTACCCCCTCTTCAAAATTTCCAACTGAAAAGTAGGTAACATTGGATGGTTTTATTTGTGTGACAACTCTGGTGGATTGGTGGTGGCTGCCTGGGGGACTCAGGATTTTGAGATGGGGCTGGGTTTTACAGTGAGGAATATGGTGCTGATTATTGATGTCTAGCATGAGCCTGGGGGAATCGTGGTGGTATGTGTGCCAGGAATCTGCCGTCTGTGGCTAATATATCATGAGGTTACAGACCTGCCCATATCTGAGGTACATTCATTCTTGCACCGATTCTACATTTAACAAAGTAACAGTGAGAGAAAAATGAACTCTAGCGCAGCTTATTCATTGGCACGAATTCTTAAGTGGGTCAAACAGTGATGGGGCCACACACGGAAATACGTGTGCAGTAGCCCTCTAAGATCGTAACAAGCCAAGCTGCTGAATGTCACTGTCTTGTTTCCATGTATTTCGTGGTAGATGCTCTGACAGCTGTCGACAACACGTTTGCCATTGCCCTCGGGTCTGTGGAGTTTGCCTTTCCTGAGAAAGTGAATGTATGTGGGGATGGCAGAACTATGGCCACTGAAAGCTTGTAGAGAAGGACATTCCTTGAATAGATGACTGAAAACAGACGTTGCCTGTCCCAGTTGTGGGGTGCAGTTTGTGACTAGGCGGTGCCAGTTAGGGCAGGGGCTTCGTAAACATGCCAAGGTCCTGTGTCTTTTTTCTGTCCCCACTGTCAGCCCTGAGAAGACAGTTTGGATTTTTCCTATCAAAGTCTTAAGCCTTGGGCTGTAGGTAGAAATCACAGTGTAATCCTTAGTATATCTGAATATTCCAGGCAGCAGTGGTTTTCACTTAATCCAACCTCCAACCTAGAAATGAGTTTTAGCCTCCTGGTCAGTGATATGATAAAAGAAGACAAATAATTTGGCAAAAAAAAAAAAAAAACTACAACAAAAAGCAAACCAAAAACAGCCCTCCAGACTGCAGCAGCTGTTGTGAACCGTGGTCCGAGGCCTCCGAGGCCTTGAAGCTGTCTCAGGTCTGCTTCCAGACCTCGTGGCTCCCGCACCAAGCCACCGCGGTCTGCTGTCGCCCTCCCTGCAGGCACACACCCAGCACAGAAGTCGCAGCAGCTCCTCCCACACCGCCTCCCCGCCTGCACTGGAATGGTGCTCACCTGTCAGGGTGAATGAAACTGGTAACCACAGTCGTCTCTCCAGGCGGATTCACACAGGAGCAGACCGTTCCGGTGCATGTTTGGAAGATCTGCTCTAGGTCAAACTCCAGGTTTCTCCTAAATAAAAGTATCACATGCTCATTCAGTGCAGGAGGCAGAAAGCAGGTGGGACGCCTGCTTGTCCCGATTGCTCCTTCCTGCTTTCCGTCTGTTATAGTTAATTGCCTGGCTTTTTGTTTTCCTTGACTGTGTTCTTATGTAATAGCTGCTGCTGCCACGTACGCCGGACGCTGTGCACTTCTTACCACATTCGACGTGCGTCGCTAGAACACAGCCCTGCTCCACGCAGAGTCGTCTTTACCTTCATTCGGGGTGGGGTGCTCACTGTACAAATTACTTTAAGGCTGTAATTATGATAATAGATTCAGTTGTCATCTAGTGAAACCATAAACTGCTTCCATCTGCCTCCTGCCAGGAGCAGCTGAGTTCATTAGCAGCAAAAGCTGAACAAGACACTGGCTTTTCGGAATAAGTAAGAGAGGGAGAATTCAGGGCTTCGAACCGGTTCACTCTAGACATACTAAGGGTGGAAATGCAAACTGTCAGCAGGGGTTTGAGCCGGAATGAACCGGTTCGAAGCCCTGGGAGAATTCCATGGCAAACATGGCTTCCCGCCCTTTCTCTCTGTAGGATAGGGGCAGTGAGATTAATCTGTTTTTCAGGCCAGAGGGACACAATAGCCTCAAAGCACTAATACATGAGTTTCTGCTCTCACCAGCCACCTCATACAAAAACAATTTGCCTGATGCTGAGCTGAACAACTTTTTTTCTTCCTTACAAGTGTGTTTTGGTCTTCTATAGAATTTTCATGGTTATTTCTAGACAAGAAGAAGAGGTTCTTAAATTTAAGTATTTTACTTTAAATCCTGCTAGCTAACTAAAAAGTACCCACAAAACCACTCTCAGATCCCCGTTTTCCTCAGGCGAGCTGAGTGCTGACATACAAAGAGGAGGGGAGGTGACCTTTCCCACCCACCAGTTAGGCAGAAAGGAAGTGGCCAGGGCAGCTGCGAGTTATCCAGCAGGACTTCCTTCCTGGCCACTTTTCTCGTGAGCCACCATTTAGCTTGCCGTGTGCTTTCTTCCAGACCTGAATGGACGCACAACTGTTGTTGCCATAACTTGACCACTTTTAGTTCTTCCCCTAGACTAGAATTGATGTCTTTTCACTAGTATGTCCACTAGTTCTGATTTTCTAACTTTGGCTTTCTGTGTACAGAAGTGATACTCATGGTAAAAGTCCAAATGCTATAGCAATACAGACAGGGAATGTCTCCTGTATGCCTGTCCTCTGTTCCTCCCATGGTTTTCAAACATGCAATCATGTTATAGGTACAGCTTCTGGACTTTTTAAAACTTATTTTGTATATTTTCTGTGTCGGTATCTATGGACTACCTCATTCTTATCCTGATCTTCCACTGTGTGAACATACTGTATGAGAATTACTTAACCGTAGGTGGGTTGTGGGCAGTTTTTTGGTTATCCAGTGCCACCATGAACATCCTTGAACAAATACCTGTACACAGCTTGGCGTCAGTTGCTGTGGCGCTGCTTCTACCCAGGCTCCATACAGAACTATGGAAGTTTCTAAACAGTGAATTCCCAGCTTACACTCACAGTAATATTGATATGTGTGGCTCCCACTTTCATCTTTGGCACCTTTAATATTGAAGGGCATTAAATCTCATTGTTTTATTTCTCATTTCTTTCATTGTTCCAAAGTGCCACATTAATGCTGACTGGCCTTGCATGGTGCTGCAGATGGAGCCTGCCTGGAGGTGACCCCCTTCCCAGCTGCAGCCCTTCCTGTCCTTAATTAGGGGAAGAGAAAACAATCTATGGAGACTTGATTCCCTCTTGTGGCTTTGGGGGGGGTCTCTAAGGAAACAGAGCGAGTCACCGGGAGGAGCAGCAGGGTTGTCTGAAAAATCTCCCCCAGTGCACAGGACCACCACCAGAGACTTCACGATGGGAAAAGCTAGCAGCCTCACCTAGTAGCTCTTTGACTCCTTTTTAAAAAGTGATTTCATCATCTCTAAAATGCGAATCATGTCTCACAGGGTTGCTTGGGGAAAAATGGTCTGGAAGATTTAAAAAGAACTATTGTTGGGAGGGTCGTTACTTGACTTAATTGTGAGTGCTCACGAGTAAGCTGTTTGGTATTTAGCCGCTTTAGCCAGCAAACAGCTGGGCTCAAACGTCAACAGGCCTGCTTGGGAATGTAATCTAGTGCCATTCTAAACGAAGAAGAAAAGCACATTTTAAGTGCTCTGTGGGGCTTAATGAGCATGATGTGTTGAGTTGAACAAGCTGTGGTGTTGGAATTTGTTAAACTTTTACACACACACGCATTTTTAAGATCTTTCCCCCTGCTCTTTTTTTCTAGATTATTTGCAGGTGTCTTCCCTCGAATGGCAGCGATCAGTCTGGGGGGTTTCATCTTTCTTGGTGCTTACGACCAAACTCGCAGCTTGCTGTTGGGACTTGGCAGAGAGACCCCATGAATCAGAGGCAGCCCAGCATCCACGTCTTTCAAAAAAGGGGACTGCTGTGAGAACCATCTCCCTTCCGATGAGCAGCTGCCCACCATTTGAACAAAACACAGTGCTAAAATCCAATTCTGCTAAGATTACAACACTGAGAATGTGTCCTCTATGGTACAGGCTGGCCGGCATGAAGTCATCAGCTTGTGTGCCAGAAAGTTAGAAAAGAGCAAAAACTAATTAATGTTTTACACTGTTTTCTCAGACGCCCTTAATAAACAAGTTTGGTAATGGTGAGGCCAGGCCCTTCAGAGCTTTCATTTGATCTGTAGCTGATCTTCACTTCCTGCCACCTGATAGTGGAGGCAGCAGAAGGCAAGATGGGTGGGTATAGGTTTTAAAAAAATGGCTACACTGGGGAAAAGTTGTGTATGGTGGGTGTGGGTTCCCCTGTCCCCGGTTAATTCCTAGTGTGTGAGCTTATAGCTTAGTTTAAAAAGAACAAACTACAGGTGCATAGCAAACATTCTTTCTGGGTAACCTGGCTGCTGTTTTGAATTACCCTCAGATTTCACCTAAAAAAACAGACTGATTGATTGATTGTATTATTTTACAGAGAAGTGGCCAACAGCCCATGTGGCATATGAAAGAAAGCAGTTGCAGCTCAAGTGACTAGTTGGGCCCAACTGGCTTGGGGGCAAGGAGGCACGGTGGGCCCTCTGGGGAAGCTGGGCCACAAGCCTCTGTTTTCAGTCTGAAAGGAACGGCTGGCCAGCCTCTAGGAAGGAAGCAGCACACTGTTTCCAATCTTTAAGCTCAACCTTGAAAATAAAAGGGATGCAATGGGAAGGTCGCCATACTTTGGGATTTTAGAATTTGACTAATAATAAGCTCCAGGTTTAGAAAAATTCAGAAGGCAAAAAAATCTCAGGAATCTAGCAGCATTGTGTAAGCTCTTCCCCGCAACAGCCGTGTATGATGAGTCTCCTTTTTTGGAAAAAAAGAAGTAATTAAAGGCAGGATGACTGGCTTTGTAAGGGATACTGTGGAAGGGATACTGTGGAATTCAATGGGATAAAGCAATGCTGGTTAAATAAATGTATGCAGAAGAATGACCCCCACTCACACACTTAACATTTATAAATGAACCTTTATTAAAGACACTTCAGTGCCATTTGTTAGATGCTTCAATATTTTACACGTTTTTCAATGTACATTGTACCAAAAATTTCTATAAATAAATAACTTTGTACATAAAAAGTAATACTTCCTCTTTCACATTGCCTCTCAGAAGCAGCAAATTCACATATTTTGTGGAAGTAACAATCAGTTACGTGTTGAGGAAAAAACTCAATGTGCTTACCTTTTGGAACAGTGTGACATCTGACAGTAAAATTTAAAACAGGTAACCATTTTGTCTAATCCCCACCTTCAGCTTTTTGCCAAGGGCGCTTGCTTTCTGAGATTTTTAAGGACCTTATTTGTTTCCATTTTGTTTCCGTTTTTTTACTGAATTTCACATTGGCACTCACAAGATGGTTAGCTACAGGTCCTAAAAGTGCAAATATACCCAGAACCCAGGTCAGGGGCTGACTGTTGTGCAGTCCAAGCCCAGTTCTGTCTATGTGAGGGGGTGATGTGGATAGGCCTGCTCCAGGTCCTCAGTAGAAATAAGCTAGCCCTGAAAAGGAAGAACTTTATCCTTTTTTTAATCCCCCAAGGCCAATGCAATATTCAGCATATTGGCAAAACTAAAAACACCACTACTGAAAAATCCACAGGTACCAACACCAGCAGCCTCTTAAGAAAAAGCCTCAAATGACAACCGAACGACACTGACAAGACCACATTCGCTTTTATCACAAAGTGAGCATCAAAGGCAAGGCAGGCAGTGCTTAGTGTTCTGACTGATTGTTTGCAGTGGATTAACACCCTCACTCTGCTTGTTAAAGAACTTAAACCAGAAATCATTTCACTGCGTGGGCAAATGACATGTGCACCTCTGGGCTCAAAAGGAAGGAGTGCCCACAGGTGAGCAATAATGACGTGAGGTTACTTCCGACTCAGAGGAGCGCTCTGACTGTAAAGCACCCAGAACTCTGATCCTATGAAGTGCAGTATGAATCCTTCCCACCCCAACTGTTGGGAGCAAATGTGGTTTTAGCTTCTATAAATTCCACTCATGCATTAAGGCACAGAACTAACCCAACCTCCCCAAATTAAACAGCAACCTGATATGAAAAATAATATTGCCAAAAATGTACAATATTTTTTCTGTTAACCATGCACTAAAGATCAAAATAGCCTCTGTAAAAGATATATAATATATATGAAATCTCTGAAAAACTCTTATGTACAATGGTACCAAATACTTTTTCTGCCTTTTGTACACAATAGCCTCTTTGCATTTCTGTGCTTCAGATGCAAGTCCTCTGAACTACTGATACTCCACATGGAAGTTAAAACTATATACAAATCAGTGACGCTTGAACCCAAGCTTCCTCACAGCCTCTCCTACCTCTCCTTCCTGTATGAGATTGAGACGAGAGCTGAGGTAGACAAAGCCTAGATTTTCGGTGCAAACAGCAGTGGCACACTCCGCTTCCCAGGGAGCTGTCCCGTCAGTGGTGTGGACTCAGGACTGGAGTCGCATGCCTTGGGGAGGTGCCCATTGGAAAGAAGCAAGTGCTGGGCTTCACTGGGGACGTCAGGAAAGCCTGAGGCGGCTTCCGGGAGCTCAGGACTGCCTGAAGTTAGCGCAGACGAAGGCTGTAGGTCTAGGGAGTCCGGCTCACACAACCTTGCTAAAGTCCAAGAACCTCCTACGAGAAAAGAGGGCACGTGAGACCGTTCTACCAGCCTTGACCATTTAAGTCCCAACACTCCTGCTAGTGACTCCACAGAAGGCAATAAAAAGTTACCTTTTCCATCTAGAGGAGCCACTGGCTTTTTCTTCAAGGATGTCAGCATTCTGTCGTGGTTACTGGGGTAGAGGGAACCCCTGCAGTTGGCACGGGACCCATCAACAGTCCCACTGCTCAGGGGTTGTGGAGAATATTCTCGGTCACTCCGACTGGGCTCCTGGCTGCTTACTGTACTTGGCTGTGCGCCGTCTCTGGATGCAGGCTGAAGATGGAAGGCTTGTTCCTTGGAGTAGCTGTCCATATCAGTGCTGCAATCACTGCATACAGCCGGGCCACTGTGCTCTGGAGAACAAAGGCAAAGATGCATTAGAACCACTGCCGTCGGTGTCTCCGTGCACACCCGAGAGAGCAGTGCGTAACTCACTGCTGTGAGGTCAGAGCCCTGTTTACATCAACTAAACAGTTACTTCCCCCATTGCCAAGTGCACTCAGAGAAACAGGTCCAGGGCAACACCAAGCCATTAATGGAGAATGGGGACTTAATTTCTCACTCAGAGAATGCAGTCACAGAAAAATCGTCCCATTTGAGTTAGGTGTCATGCAGCGTCAAAAGTCGTCTAAGCAATTAGAAATGTAGTCTCAAAGTAGCCCTGGGGAAAAGGTTCTAAGACTCTCCATTTTGTTTAGCCTCGTCCCTTATTTTACTTGCTTATAAATCTAAAGAATTTACACTCAGGCTCATCACACTATAGATTTCTTTAAGAGACATCTTGTTCTGGAATTGAGAGAGAGCCAGGGCAGAGCTTTGTGCTTAGACACTGAATACAGAATTCTGAGATCGTAATAGACCAGTGACATAGCTTCCTTTTCATTTAGTGAGTAGATCAACCCAAATTTTGATTTTGAGAAGAAAATGTTTTTCCCGATGAAAGCATCTCATACCTGTTTCATGCAGACCAGGGGTCCTATCGGCTTTTGCTGTAATTTTCCAAGGCTCTTTATTATACCCTACACAGAGCTGGGGCTGTATGCATGCAACGCCGTGGGCGTCAACCTCTGGAAAGAGGCTTGCATCTCTCGGACAAACGCCTGCAATAAATTCCAACAGTCAGGAAGTCTGGGCCTACACATTCCACAATAAGCCATATAAAAGGAGTGGGGGCAAGGCTACTACTAGAACAGAGTCATTTTTTAAAAAATGTTCTTTAGAGGGGCCAAGCAAGGGACAATTTTCTACTACTGCCTTCCCAGCAGGTGGCCTTTCAGCATTCAGAGCCAGACTGTGCTCAGGCTCCCCCTGGGGCGAGCTTTCTAGTATAAGAAAGCCGGCAACACAGCAGACCTGGACTCCTCCCCTATACAAGGACTGGGTTGGTTTCATGACCTGTAATGTCCTTTGCAGCTCTTATTCCAGGTAATCCTACCTATCCTGATTAGCAGAAGCTGAGCCGAATATAGTGACTTTCTGGAGGACGGGATTTAAACCTTGCAGAATGTGCTCAGGCGGAGTTCAGAACAAAAAACCACCGAGGCCTTCTGTCCTGCAGCCTTCTAGCTCACCGAGTGTGCCTGGTCTAACGCCAGGTGGCTTTGTTGGCGTTGAGGCCTTACCGTTGCTCTCAATGTGCCCATTGACCTGATGGCCACCCTCAGTCCTGACCAGAGTTTCCTGTCGGTCAGAAAGGGTCCCCTGAGAAGAGAGGTAGCTCGGAACATCAGGCGGCACGATGGTTTCATCTGCAAGGAGAAGGGACAGTCAAACGCCAGGGGCCCCAATCCAACCGACTAACAAGAAATGCAGACACGTATGCACCATCAGGCCAAGAAGACGGACCCACTTGACAGTGGCCACAGAGGCAGTGCAGAGCCCGTGCACTCTAGAAGCCCTGCCTCACAGAGCCTATCTCCCCTCTTACTCGGTTGCTAAGTCCACAAGATGGAGGGAATGATGGGAAAGACAGAGCTAACAGAAGGACAGCACTGTGAGGTCGTTTTAGGAGCAATCCCCACATGGCCCGAGGACAGCACACAAGACGTGTGTGCAACGAGATTTCACAACAGACTTAGATTTGACAGTGCTCCCCATCCAATGCTACCTTCCTGAAAGTTTACATGGTGCCAACAAGACTAAAGCCTCAGCCATCCAGTGACTCCACATTCCCGAAGGCTGTACAGTGCTGAACGTCCTGACATGCCTGACCTGTGTTGGTGACACTGTACTCCTCACTCTTCTTCCGGGTTTGGTAGATGATGCACACCCAGACCAGAGACGTCAGGACGATGCTGCACACCACAGCGATGGTGAAGATGCCCACGCTGGTCCCATCCTTCCTGCAGCTGGGGCTGGGCAAGACGCTCAGCTGGCTGTGAGCTCGCTCAGTGCCCAGGGCATTGGACATCTCACAGGTATATCTGCCCGCGTCCTCTGCCACCACATTCTGAACAACAAGCAGCTGGTTGCCAGGGGTGAAGTGGTGCCGCTCAGTGAGGCCCAGAGGCTGGTCCCCCTTGAGCCAGGTGATACGGGGCGGCGGGCTGCCGGTGGCTTTGCACTGGAGTGCCACCGTTTCTCCTACAGACACCACGCAGTCTTCCAAGGGCACCACCAAGGATGGAGTTTCTGCAAGAAGTCAGCAGAGATCATAAGGTTGTTCTGCGGGCCCCCCTTTCTACAGACCTGCCTTGTCTCTGGATGAAGGACAATTCAACATCTCAGTGAAATGCCATGTAAGATCCTGTATCAGAGCAGCAAGCTTTTCGGAAGAGCTTCTAACGCAATGACTAAATCATAAAAAGCACTCTGGGGGCTAGCTAGCCTCTGGCCAGAAAGGCTTCTATTGTTTCCAGACTGACCAGTGACAGAGCTGAGTCCATCCTGCCCAGGTCAAAGGGCAGTTCTCACTAGTGTCTAAGCCGAAGCCTTGCTATGAAGGCTCTCTTAGTTCACTGGCTATCATTTGTGTTTTGTTTTCAGAGATGGAGCCATTTGTTCAAGACAATCTTAAGTAGAAAGAGCCCACCACACACCCCCACCCCAGGCTCCACAGAGCAGGTGGATAACCTTGCCTCTCTGTATCTGTGATATTTAAGAGCCTCTCTCACACATGTACACAGTGTATCAGCAGGCGAACCTAGGACAGTCAGAGTGGCGTTAGCTGAAATGGAGCCGGCGGTGTTCTGGGCAGTACAGCTGTAAACCCCCATGTCATCTATTTTCACATCAGTGATGAAAAATACATCGTCATCTGGCATGACATGCATGCGTCGCTCCCGAGCAGCGGGGAAATCTGTGCCTCCGTCCTTCTGCCAGGCAATCTGGGGGTTGGGGTGGCCCCGGGCAGCACATTCGAGGCGGGCCATGGTGCCAGTCCGGATGGCAATGTCATGAGGCATTTTGGTGAATGATGGCAACACTACAAAACATACAGATAAGGATCAGGTTAGGGAAAGCTAGATGCAGAGACCAGGAAAATCCCCTGGCAAGCCGACCTCCCCACAACCCCATTCCACGCCAGTGTCTGCCCAGGGCTGACTACTGCCACCAAGAATGTGCTCCCTTGGAATGGGGAGCAGTGGGTTTCCAAGGGCTGCCAGCGGTCTCCCCACCACAGGGGAACATTTCCATTGGTCTCTCCTTGCACACCCTCGGCTATAGCTCCTCACAGTAAGGTTTACTGAGAACATTTTCCCCTGCTCTAACTCAGATGGTAATTGGGCTCTACAGGGGTACCTCACCAAGGCTAGGCCTGACTGATGCTTGCCTGCCTTCCCACCAGGAGGGAGCCTGGGAAACAAAGATACCCGTTCCATCAAGACGCAGACAGAGGGGATGGTATGTCTTCACCCTGGGTAAGGCAGTGGGATGGCTCTTCCCTCATGAAGAAAACAGTTATGGGAGGTGGTACTGATGCCATATTACAGTACACATGGGCAGAAAGCATTCATCTAGCGTGCTTGTTTTTCCCGAATATCCCTCAACAGAGTGGTGAGCACCCAGCCACACGCCAGGCATCACT